AACAATAGGAGACTGGTTCAAAATATGTATGGTTATGCATACAATGGAATAATAAAATATAACCTATATTATTTATAATAATGAAATATATATTCACTATATATAGATACTTTTTAACATTCATGTTCTAAAATATTTGATGATATGGATTATGTCATTTTAAATTTAGAAACAAGTTACAAAATTATATATATATATCATGCCCTTATTTTTGTAAAAAATAAAACAATGTATAAAAACAAATGGCTATATATTGTCAAGGTAATATGTATCCATATTAACTGGATAGTGGAATTTTTCTTTCTTTATAAAATAGTTTTTAATATTTTATTTCCCTTCTAAATTTTATTTTCTATATTCTTAAAATTCTCATGTATATTATATATTGAATTATATAAACACAGATATACATATTAGAATTAAAAACCATGTACTATTTTCTGTTCCACATTTTCTCCTTTTGTTTTAATACTGTCCCTTGTGCATGCCTGTGTTGTATCATAGTTCTTATGGTAATGGCTCCTTGCAGTTGCAATACACTAACAGATCATAATTTATCTAACCTTATCCCAGTGTTTTATTTTTTCCTATTTGTTGATGTTGCTTTATAAAACTGCTCTCTACAACTCATTTTCCTTGTTTGAGTTGTTCCTATTGAAGACATTTTCAGTAAGGGGAAGACAGGGTCTAAAGCGCCTTCTTTGTGGACTTTGCCCACTGCCAAGGCTGAAAGCTCACATACTAGTGAGTTGTTTTAGACTGGAGTCACTAAAGTTTCAGAAATATTGAGGATGAAGGAAATTTTCTCCCTCTTAAGTATGATCAAGGTTTCATGGGCTTATAATCTGTTAAATCTGTAGACTTGTTCACATTACATGCTTTTAATTATGTCCATTTAAATTACTCAGCGTTGAAGCTGTTTTTAAAAGAGACAACAAAAATCATGATGCCAGCAAAGACTATCCTCTTCCCAAACTCAGAAGTAGCCTTAGAGAGGATAAAATGGCTGGCAAGCAACTAAGGGTATGGGACAGGACACATGCACATGGAAAAGTCAAGAACATTGAGTTGTGCAAACAATTTTAACCCTGGTCAAACGGCAGGTGCCAAAGAGTAAATGAGATCTTTGGAACCAGAAATCTTTTCCCATTGAAAGCGACTACCACTGGTTCTATCTGTACAAGTCTCTGTAGCTGATCATTCCCACAGGGCCTGTGCTTCTTAACTTATCTCTCACCCATATACAGGTTAAGGCAAACCAAGCATACCGATGAGATTATGCAAAACACAGAGTTAACTCTCTATTTTTCTCAATAAGTACTTTACATATTTAAAAATCTTTTTATTGACTTTTCACAAAGAGAGAGAGAGAGAGAGAGAGAGAGAGAGAGAGAGAGAAAGAAAGAGAGAGAGAAAGAAAGGGAGAGAGAAAGAAAGGGAGAAAGAAAGAAACATTCTGGCCAGAGTTCTGGGAAACCAGAGTGCCTCAGCACTAAAGGGCTGAGTACATCAAACAATCTTTTCGCTGCTTCCTTCAGGGAATGATGATAATCATGACACACAAATACTATTGTGTGCCAGGCACTAAGAAATTCACATAGGCTTTTTTACTCACTTGGTGCCAGTGCCTGGATTACTCATTTAATCCCCACAAACTGTCTCTCACATAAGTGTTGGTGTTATTCTCAGGACACTATTCACACTAAAAGCTCTCACACTGTGCGCTCAGTTAAAGCTACACCCATTTCTTTAAAAAAAAAAAAATCCAATGGGCTGAACTGAAATACTGTGTGGTTAGCTGC